CAAAGAGAACGCAGAAGGCATTTTTAAAAAGGGCAGAAATGGGGGAGATGGAGCTAGACCATGGGAGGAAGCTGTGTTTCAGGACGTTTGGTTTTGACAGGTTAAATCAGAGACAGTGGCTGGACGTCACAGCAGGGTCGTGAAGACATTTGAACTCACAGACTGGGATGCAGGTGAGGGGCGAAGGCGTGTCCAAGAATCTGCTCCTCCTTTGGGGGGATAGTTCGCTTTAGGGTGAAGCCGAGGCCTGACCATGGGGAAATAACTACCATTTAGTTAAGACTATAATATTTTAGGTAAGATTTAAGAAGATTCTAAAGAAAATAGCTACTTGACAGGAACGCTGATGCCCACCGTCTAATAGGGTAGCGCACTGAAGCTAAGCATCCGCAGTAGGGGTTCCAGTCCTTGCTGAGGCATGACCCGTATTCGGGAATGGTAGATACTTGAAGATTATAGGCAGATAGTCTATCTACTGTATCTCCCTATTGTTGGGATTGTTTAAATTGAATTTTAATTGTGCTTTTATTGATTCCTTATTCTTCCGTCTAGAGCTAACTTACCTCTTGTAATATTTCAGACTCTTGGTTTAAGTGACCTTCATTAGAAATTAGAAAAGAAATACAGTCTTCTTTTATTATTTTATGGATAAAATAGTCCCAGAAGGAGAGAATGGACACTTAGAAAACAGTTTGAGGAGAAAATTCCAGTATCTGCCCCAGTAATGTGTAGAATGAGGCGCTGTGATTTAAGTTCTCACAGACACGGGGCAGGAAGGAGTCTTGTCACCAGATTTGCTGCCGATAATGAAGTTCAGTGGGTGCCATTTTCCTCATTAAATTAGAGGCGATATCCGCTCTTCTCTGGAAGAGCAGGTGTATCATGACCTCAGGGAAATGGAAAGGTGCCAGTCATATTGTATGGCAATAAATGAATCGGACAGATTGTGACGTCAGTTGTAATAGCACGGACCACAGCATTTTAAAATAAAAAAATGTACTGTGGACCATGCAGTGGGTTGGAAGAGAATCTTGATCATCAAGAAGGACATACTTCAGAGGAGGCTCCAGGAAGCACGGGAGGCTTCCTGAGAAGAGAGTTGTGAACGTGTCAGCGCTCACCTGAGGGCTCCAAGGTCCATGTCCAAGGACAAGTGAACCACTCCCCCACCCGGCCTCTCAGCCAGTTGGCCTGGGTGGTATCTGGGGGCCCGTTCATGAGTCCCTCTATTCTGAGGTATCCCTAGAATCCCTTCCTGATAGGAGTGCTGACTTGGGAAGAATCCAGTGGCTGTCAAATCAAGCAGTGACCTGAAAAGACACAGAATAGGTTAGATTCCGTGGACTTCTTCCCAGTTTCCTTACTTTCCCCTCGTTTTTGGTCATAGGAAGCTTTTTGTTACAGTGTAGGTTAGGTGCAGGTACAAGTGCCAGAGACCCCCCTCTCCAAGCCATTGGCTTAAATGGGAGAGGCATTTATGTCTCCTTCCCATGAAAGCCTTTCCAGCAGTCAGGCCAGGGCTGAGGAGAACAGCAGGCGCCGTGAAACCCTCAGCGACCCAGGTTCCCCCAAGCTCATGCTAAGCCATCCTTGCAGCGAGGCCTTCCTGCTTGCAGACCAAGGTAGCAGCTTTCACCTTCTGGGCAGTAGGATGGAGTAAAGAACAAAACGGGGAGCAGGGCACAGGCGTGTGCCCGCTGCCCTGCAGGAAATGGACCAGAAGCTGCCTTTGATACTTCTGCCTCTCGCCCAGGGGCGAGAACTTGGACATCCAGGTACACCAGCCTGTGAGAAGGCTGGGACATGGAGCCTTGCTTCTGGGTGAACATAGCCCAACCAAATAATCTATCGCGTGGATGAAGGGGAAAGTAAACACTGGGAGGAAGTTTCTAATCATGCCTCCCTTTCCCATTGCAACGAGACCATGGCTTCAGCCGGTGGACTTTTGGAACCGCCAATGGAGGCACGTGAAGCCAGGTGGTAGGGGCAGAGCCGCTGAGAGCCCAGACCCCGGAGTCCCACCGCCTGGGCGCGTGTCCCTCAGGCATAAGGCGGAACGGTGTGAGTACCTCCCTCAGCTGCTGTGACGGATGAATGAAATGCTGAACGTAAGACGCGGAGCGTGCTGTTCCACACTTCTGAACATTTGGATAAACGTTAGCTCTTAGGAAAAGTATAAAGTGAAAAGCTTTCGAGCATCCAAGGGCATATAACCGTTTTCTACATCCCTGCAGTTTGGGGGATGGGCTTGCTTTCTCCTCCAGAGGTGATGCGATTCAGAGCGGTTCGTGTTTTCTTTCTGGAAATAAGCCAGCAAGTATGTGCTTGGGTTGGGGGGGGGGTGTCCTAACAGATCTGTACAGGTGAGTGATTTTCTTGAGTTTGCAATGGGCCACGCATGTTTCATTGACACTACGCTGCAGGCTCTTCCCTTCCTTTTTATCAGTTTTGATGTGAAGCTCACTTAACGCTGAGAGTTTTTAGCTCCCTGTTCCACCGAGGTAACAAGGCAGGGACTGAGCCTTGCACCGAGTAGGCGGCCGTCCTTGGATGGGCGAGCTCGCGGGGTCAACATGGAGGGAGATGCTCTGTTCGCCTGTAAAGGGATAGGCAGCCCTGAACTGCAGAACGAATGTCAATCACAACGTAAAAGTCTGGCTTGACTCTGTTTGGAAACGATGATAAGGAGCAACGTGAGCGGAAGCGAAGCGTGACATCCCAACTTTGATGTGACAATTTTCTTATGATTACAGACAACAGAATAGCTGCATTGAGATGTTTTTTTGCTGATGCCTAAATGTTGTTTTGCTTTTCTCTTTTTTCCCTCTTCCTCGAAGCCCCATCTTTGTTCTGTGGGTTTTCTTTGGCTCCCCCTCCAGACTACAGCTTTGTCCCCCCTTCCTCTACTCCCTTCTGGTCAGGTACTGCTTCGCTGCTTTCACGTGTCTTTTCAACTTGCTTCTGTTTGCAAAAAAAAAAAAAAAACCCAAAAAACATTTGGCCTTCTCTGTATGGCTTCTCATGTAGATGCATCTCCTCACACACAGCCCCCTGAGCCCCATTCGTGCCATGTACCCGCCTCCCCTCTGCCACAGAGTCACTGTTTGTCATGACATTTCACTGCCCTGGTTTCTGTGTGTGCTTCTGCGACATGTGTCGGTGAGACGGTTTCTATTCCATCTGTGGGAGCAGCGGGGAAGGGAAGGGGGCTGAGCGTGGAAGGGAAGACCCCTAGTTTCCTTAAGGATCCGAAATTTTGTTCGAGAAGAGCCAGTGTCTAGATGTTTCCACTAAGAAAATAACTAGAACCAAAATCCCAACTCGGTCTCCCAACATAAGAGTCAAATCCAGTACGGATTGCTTCGAAGGATAACTGGGTCCCTCGTTTTTCGCACGGGCATTTTGGTCTTGATTTCTGGCAGTAGCTGGAAAACTTGATGGTGGTTTATGTGCCACGCAGGAGAGCACATTATGGCTAAAGTATGTTTCCTTAGAGATTTTAAAGAATTAGCCTCAAAGTCCCGATGCGATCATTGGAATAATCTAGAACCGGAAGGGCCTTAGAAGTCACCTAGTGCAGACCTTTCATTGTGTACGTGAGAAAAATGCAGCCTTGGAAACCTCAGAGACCCGGGCAAGGCCTCACAGTTCAGCTGAGAAGTGGCTTTTGCCGCCACCAGGGTATTTTCATGTGCGCCTGTCTAAGAGCGAGCAGTGGCCCGTAATGGGACAGCATTCAGTAAGGAAACTATTAAAGTGGTTTTTGTCCGAACAGTAAAAATAAAATGACCTATTTCTACTCCCTGTACAGTTCTGAAATCTACAGCATCGCTATTCGTTTATCTTATGATCGACACCTGGAGACTAAAAAAAATTTCAGTCATTGCAAAGCCATGACTAATGGGCCAGAGATGCCCGTCCCCACATGGGCAGGCCCCGCCAGGGTGGCCCAGGTCATCGCTGCGGCGGCCGGGGCTGGGGGCCTGTTAAACAGGCAGAGGGAAGGTGTTTCCTATCTGTTTCTTTTCCTTATACTGGAGTTCCTCGGATCCCAGAGGAGCGATCCTCAGAATCACCGAACCTGTCATTGAAAACACTTTATAACCCCAAAGAACAGCAGGGAGAGAAGTTAATCTAGAATGTGTCGTGAAACACAAGAGATGAACAGATGCACAGCCGAGTGTGGTTTTCCTTTCAAGGCAGTGAGGGCCGCGAATAAGCTATTAAAAAAATAAGTTAGCTCCTGCCATTAAAAATAGCTGAATATAGGAGATGAAATCCTGGTGTCATTTCTGATTATTACACATTCCTGTGAGGCAGCATTTGTTTGAAAGAACAGGTGAATGGTCTTCGTGTGATCTTTGTGTGAAACCTGATCTAAGCTTCTTTACGTAAGTGAAATTAAATCTATGTAAAACAATAACTGAGTTATCCCCAAATAGTTATAGTAGTAGTAGTAGTAGTAGTAATAATAATAATAATAATAATAATAGGCTGGCCAGGGGAGGAAAATGCCAATTAACTGAAGAGATGACCTGGATTCACCAGGAGACTTTATGAGCAAAAATATGAATTGGTTGTTTTGAGTCTTTAGTCAGCAAGGTTGCGGATAAAAACGTAGCGCTTTTGACCTTAGCGGCTCTGGTTAGAGATAGATTATTGTGCCATCAATAGGAAATTCATGGTAGTTGTTTTAGATTCTGTCACCTTAGGTAGTAACTTAGATAGTAACCTTTAAAAAAACCCCAAACTCGTCCCTGCTTTGAAGTTATGAGGAAGGTGAAGACAGAACCGTGGTGTTTAGGCTCAGGAAGCGACCTCGACTCCACCCGATCGAATCGAAACGGCCATGCCGCTGCTCGCTCCCACGCCCCCGCCATTGTCACCGGTCCGTAGTGAAGTCATGGCTGTGCACTTTGAGAGCATCGCTAACGTCTGTCTGGGTGGCTTCTGAGGCTCGTTAAACTGCCACTCAGCGGAGCCCCCTCGTTTCTTCACAGTGCTGAGTCCGAAAGTGCTGGGCATCGCCATCGCGCGCTATGACTTCTGCGCACGGGACATGCGAGAGCTGTCCTTGCTGAAAGGGGACGTGGTGAAGATCTACACGAAGATGAGCGGGAACGGCTGGTGGAGAGGGGAAGTGAATGGCAAGGTGAGCCGTCCCTCTCGGCGCTTGTGCCCGTGGGTGCAGGGGGCTGGGCAGCTGCCGACCCCACGGTGCTGCTGGGGAGCAGCCCTTCCCCCTCAGGGCTCTGGCCCCAGTGACTGCCGGTGGTTCCCACCCATTCGGGGCCCTCAGGGGAAACGCACTGAGTGCATGTGATAGCGGCACAAAGTTCGCTTGGGCAAGTGTGCGGCAGCTTGTTGGGACGGCGGTTGGGGAGCATCTTCTCAGTCCCTCCGCCACAGAGCGTGCACTTGGTTGCCATGCAGAATATCTCTGTGGGCTGCTGATCTCAACCGGAGGGACTGGGGCACCGGACCCCTGTGTGCACACCCCATCCCCTCCCAAAGCAGAAATAGGACCCCTTGAGTTTCAGAACTTGTGTTATACTTCATTTGCATATTTATGGGCGTGGCAGCCAATGGGAACATAGTTTCAGTGTATTTCATTCCTCCGTTTCTGTCTCACTCTCAGGCTCTCAGAGCCGTTAAATCAATCTTCTTCACCTACGATGGACATCAAACGCCAGTGTAACCAGGGTGTTAAAGAAACAAAATGCTCTCTTCGTAGACCCCCTGGAAGAGCCAGATGCAAAGTCACGTTGCTCTGTTGGTTGCTTGTCTTTTGCAGGTGGGCTGGTTCCCATCCACGTACGTGGAAATGGATGAGTAGGCGCCAATCCGGCGTGGCAGCTGGCACCAGAAATTCAGAGAAGGGACAAACCAAAGCTCGCGCAGGGCTGTGAAGGAACCGAAGCGTTTCAGAGGCTGCATTTCTGGCTCGTCCACGTCCTCCCTCCTAAGTCTTAACATGCGGATTGAAAAACGCGGGTCCTGACAGGTGAACGTTTTGCACGGACTGGCCAAGAAACAGCCAACCCGCCGGCCATTGTCAGGAACCAGGGCAACGCCAACAGCGTGTGTTTCCCAAAGACCCCTGCGAACACCTCGGTTCATCTTGCTTTTTCCGTCCCCGGTCAGACAGCATGAACGCCCACCACTGGGGAATGTGTGCCGCGTCTTTCTTCTCACGTGCCATTCACAGGATTCCTCCGTGGTACAAAGAAGCAGAGGTTTAACTTTGTCCCCCTTCGAGCACAAAGAACAGCGGGCGCTCCCCCGTTCAGGCAGCCCAGTGGAAGGGTCCACGGGACGCGCCGCAAATGCTTTTATTTAATTATCCATTTGATGTCCTGATCATATTTGCAAACTGCTTTATAAAAGAACAAAAGAGAGCAGCTTCCGATGAAATCTTCACAACCCTGGTAGCTTCCAAGGGTTAATTTCGAAACATAGCATGTGACCCGGTGGCATCGTCCTGGCCGAGTGTTCCAGGCAGCGGCAAGGACCCAGAGCGAGGGGTCATTGCTTACAGGAGCAGGTTAGGGCTGTCATTCCTGCGAGGTCCTTTTATAGAAGCAGCATCTATTAACACATGCCTTTCCACACCCCTCGCCCCCACCGAAGACCGAGGGCATAGTTCCTGAATTTTGTGTTTCCTGTGGTGTCTACAGTAGCACCCGTTTGTTGAGGACTCTGGAAGGAAAGCGCAGCTGGGTCCTTGATGCGTTTCTGCGACTGCAGGGTCGCTTGGGCGCCCTGGCCTTCCTCCGTGGGGGCCCCTCGCTTCTCGCTGGGGGCTCCCCATCCGCCAGCCCTTTCCGGGTGTGGTAACCAGGGGAAGGTCCGTTTTTGCAGTGGATTTGTTTGACCAAACCTTCACTGTTTGGGTGAGGACTGGAAACGTGCTCCCCCGCCCGCCCCTGACAGGTGGAGGCGCTCACGTGGCTCTTTCCCGGAGCGTTACAGGTGGCTGCAAGGTGACATGCTTTCCATAGCCGAAGCCATGTTCTGACTGGGTGCAGAGAGTGTTCCAAAACAAAGCATTCGAAGCATTAAGGGATAGATTTTGGATCATCTCTGAAATGAGGGAGGTGCCCCCTGCCCGCTCCCCAAGCCACTGAAATTCCAGAACCTGATGTCCGGTGGCCACCCCCGCCCCTCCCCGCCCCCCGCCGTAGAGCCCCCTGTGGCTAGGCCGTCCCAAATAGGATCGAGGCAGGGTCTTTACCTCAGAATGACGTAAACTGTGATTGTGTTTTCGAGCAATTCTTACCTACTAAAACCAATTAAGTTTTGTTTTGTCTATGTGTAAATGATCACCAAAATGCATTTGATAAACCATTCTGTACAGTCGAGTTGTACCCTCACGGAGAACTCCTGGGCTGGATTCTTCCTCTGAAGTCTTATCTGTGACTCTCTTTCTGGGCATGTTTTGTCTGTTCCTGTCGGTTTTTAGGGAGAGAGCAGCTTCACGCAAATTGAGACACTCCTGCGTAGGGTCTTGTTGCCTGTAACATTTCTTTTACTGTTTTGTAGCCACGAGCCTCCCTCCCTTACAGTGGCGTTTGGTCTTCCTGTTGCATTTCATGGACTGGGCGGGGGGCTCCGAGCAGAAGGTATTACAGCCCCTTTCCCCCCGATTACATCTCTGTCTGGTTAAGACTTTGTACTGGAAACTTTCAATGCTGCGGATTTGTGTAGATTTCTAATACCAAAGACAGAAGTAAATGTTTTTCCATATACTTTGTCTTGCCTGTATGCAGCCTTGTGGAATATGGTGAGAGTGGTGTTTCACTTTGTAATATTTTGTAAATATGTCAATACAATGAACAGTTACCACTTGCATTAAACTGATTTCTCCAGAGCTGAAGAGTCTTCCCACTGAACGACTCCTTAATTCAGCCACGGTAGTGCCCCCCTTATTCACGGAGGACACGTTCCCAGGCCCCCAGGGGAGGCCTGAAACTGTGGAGCACCCTACCTGTGCTATGGTTTTTCCTGTAGGTACATACCTAGTTTAATGTATAAATCAGACACAGTCAGAGATGAACAATAACTAATAATAAAATGGAATAATTAAAATGATACACTGTAATAGAAGGTATGTGAATGTGGCATTGTTAGGTCAAACGAGGGTTACTTTACCACACATGTTGTGTTACGGCAACAGTTACCGGACACCCTTGAAGGCTGCCAAGAGGGCGACAGGCAGGTAGGTGTGGGGTGTGGGGTGTGGGGTGTGGGGTGTGGGGACGCAGGGCAGAGGGGTGACCTGCATCCTCAGGGAGACGGTGCGGCGCCGCGCGGCGCGAGAGTTCCCCACGCCCCACAGAACGGCATGCAATTTAAAACTTAGGCATCGTTTGCTCCTGGGATTTCCCATTTGTGTCCATGCCTTGGGTGACTGTGGGGTACTGACACCGTGGGACGTGAACCCGTGGAAAAGGGGCGGTCCGCTGTGTACCCGCCTCGGGAGAGACATGGGCCTGGGGGCCCTCCTTTTGATCAGGGTAGCTCAGGCTGGCTGCCCGAGCTGCGAACCGACACAGTGTACGCAGTAGTCGCAAGTACTATTTCTTGACAGGTTTACTCTGTGCCACGCGCTGTTCTAGATGCTTGTTGCGCACTAACTCTCATCAGCCTGATTACTGACATTGTCAGACGGATTTGCAGACCAATTTGGGTGGTCGCCATGTTAAGCTTTGCTTTCCTTTCAAGGGATTTGGGCTCATGGATTAAAGGGCCACACGCAGCAGATTTTAAGTGAGACAGTCTCTGGAGGGAGGAAATTAAATCCTTTGACATCACAGGAAGGGTGGGAGTTTCAGCATCAGGCAGACCTGGGTTCAGACCCCAGCTCTATCTGTAACATCCCTGAGTGTCAGTTTTCTGTTATAAGGGGGTGATTTTAAGAGTTTGTCATGGAAAATAAACCAGAACAGGAGAGAGAGACCCAGCAAAGGGCCTGGACACCCTTGTCTCGATGACTGTAAAATACTCAGGAACCAAACTCTGTCCTTGCAGCTTTTATTTTGAATACCAGAGCCGGTGCTGTGCGTCTGACACGTGGTTTAATGTGGAGCGTTGGAATCACAGATGGAGAAAGGTGGGTGTTCAGGAAGATTAATATGCGAGCCCACAAACAACCTCAGGAGCTGAAGTTAACAGTTCCACGTTGTTTTTACTAGGAAAATGGAATTTTCACTCAGCTCAATCATTTAGACTGAAGTCCATTAGTCACCTCATTTTTTTCACTGAGGCTAGTTGCGTGGGATTGGTCGGCCCCTGATTAGAAATGTTATTCAGTCACATGGGCAGACTGGAGTTAGGAACAAGTCCCCAAAAGAAGGTAGGAAAAGAATCCGGTCTCTGGTTAGGTGACATCGATTAGAAAGGATTGGAGGAAATTATGACAGGGGAAAAAAAAAAACCAAAAAAACGTCTTAGGAAGCACTCCAGACTCTGGCTCTGTTGGAAATTTCCAGAATTTCTAGGCACAGTGTAACTACCGTGACCCAGATGTTGAGAGGCCTCAGTGTGAAAATGGAAGATACACTCAGGTCCCATGGAGCCCTGATGCTGGGGTGCACGCCAACCCCCCAGCAGTGGAAGGCGACCTCCAGGAAGGCTGGCGTGACCAGCCATCGTCTGCTGGCAGAGCCCAGTGACCCCTGGCAAAGCAGGTGGGGTGTCACCTCTGTGAACGTGGCCGTGGGCTGGCAAACTCAGCTCCTTCCCACCTAGCTGCCCAGTTCTGTGAAATTCTGTTTTTCTTCACGGCTCACAATAAAGAAATTCAGAGACTGCCTCAAAGCGTGGATATGTGAAAACACGCTCTCGCTGACTATGGCAGCGAACTCTCTGTCCAGTCGTATTCCCAATAAATGACCTGCACGACATTTCCTGCCTGGGAGAGGCACGAGGGCGGCTCTGGGGTCGGCCTCAGTCACCCTGGTGCCCTTCCCACTTAGCTGCTGGCTCGTGCAGAAGTCAGAGTGCACCTGCGGGGAGAATTCTGTGTGGGGGCCTGGGGCACCAACCCGAGGCTCCGTGGCTGGGCAGCGAATTGTGCATGGACCTCGGACTCGGACAGATGAGCTCTGCGCAGATGCTCCGGCCGAGTCTCAGGAACCCCGGCCTCTGGTGGGGGGCTGGTGTCAGGATGCAGCATCTCCCTCTGAATTAATGGCTTGGGCGCGTGTTCCTCTGGGCATCACCTGCCACCTTTGCCTCATCTGCAATATGTTTCCGTTGTTGCCACTTCCCTCCCACGGTGGCAGAAATCCAAATGATCTGCATTCAGCATGTCTTTTCCTTCTGCCAAGGATAATCAAAAAGAAATATCCCTTCATCTGTAGTCTGCAGCTCAGGGAGTCTTGACAATACCTCATCTCATCCAATTCAGAGCAGCACAACCCTGAAAGGTAGGTGGGGCCACGCTGTTCTTTCCATTTTAAAGATGACGAAACTGAGGCTTGGTGAGATGAACTGACGTGTCCAAGGTCGCCCAAATTGGAACTCTTGGCCACGTAAAGGCTCAAACCCAGGTGTCCTGGGCTCCACGTCCAATAAACGCTCTTTACATTCATTCTGATACAGCCATGCACGGGAGCATCTGATTTTTAAAGAATTATTTCTGCACTTCCCAACGCCTTTCTTCTGAGAATCATTCAGGGTCTCTGCTGTCTCCACGGGGGGCAGCGGCTGAAATCCTCGGTCGGGGGGACACGTGATGGGGTCACGGTCCTCGCCCCGCTCACTGTCGGCTGTACTGGTGTGTGTGAACTGTGGCAGTAGACCTAATGATGACTCGGGGGTCTATCGCAGAACGCTGGGGATGTTCTAGTGGTTTGAAAGACCTTGGAAAGGGAACGTGATAATTCAGTGATAATTTAGACTCTGTCTCCTTTTCTCATTTGAATATTTTTTTTTCAATCCTCACCAAGGATATGCTTTTTGATGGCGGGGTTGGGGGGAGAGACATCAACATGAGAAACATCGATGTGAGAAAGACACATTGGTCAGTTGCCTACCATACATGCCTGACTGGGGTTGAACCTACAACCTGTTGATAGGTATGTGCCCTGTCTGGGGACTGAACCGACAACCTTTTGGTGTACGGGCTGACGTTCCAACCCACCGAGTCACCCGGCCGGGGCTTGGGTATTTTTTTTTTGTGTGTGTGTGTTCATATGTGCAGGCAGTTTAGTAGGTGTTTGGTACATGATCTCATTTAATTCTCAGGAGAATTCATCAGAGATAGATGTTACCCTGTCCTAGTCATGAGAACTCTAGTCCGGGTTCTAGGCTAGAGTTCATGAGTAACCCTTCCACACTAGGGCTGGTTTGTGTGGCGACCTGACCTTGTCTAAGAAGCAGCGTGGTCTAATGGATAAGGCCTCAGAGCTGGCTCGTTTGGCTCCACTCCTTATTAGCTGAATGGCTCAGGCAATGGCTTACATTTCTTCTACCTCAGTTTCTCTACAGTTAAAATCGGGTGATGATAGCACCTATTTCAAAGGGTTTTATGAGGATTAAATGAGAATGTGTACAAACAACAGAGATTCTTAATTTGCATGTTGGTCACTATTTTAAATTAAATATTTTTAGTTGAATTTCTTGGGGTGACATTGATTGATAAAACCATACAGGGTTTAACTGCACAACTCTATGACTCACTGCATCGTGCGCTCACCGCCCAAGGTCAAGCCACTCTCTGCCACCTTTTATCCCCCTTTTGCCTTCCTCCACTCCCCCTACCCCTTGTTCCCTCCGACAACCACCATACTGTTGTCTGTTGTCGTTTCTAATGCATACAAAAATGTTACAAATTTTAAGTTACCTCCGATATGGGAAAAGTCTTGTGGGTATGTTAGGCTTGGGAAGAAACATCTTGAGTTAATTTTTCACATTAGTAACACTTTTAAAATGATGTGTTTGGAGCACAGATGAAACATGGTGCTTGGTATATTAGTTAGCTACTGCTGTGTAACAAAGTGCTCCAACCCTCAGCAGCCACGGACAACACACATTTATTATCCTGCCACTTCTGTGGGTTAGGGATCCGGGAGGAGGGAAGCTGCCTCCAAGAACATGCCTCCAAGGTCACTCCTGGGGGCCTCACAGCAGGGCCACCGGCTTCTTCCAAAATGACCCAG